GAGGAAAGGAGGAGAGAGAGGGAGGTAGGGAGGGGGGGGAGAGAGAGAGAGAGAGGAAAAAACAGAGAGAGAGAGAGAGAGAGAGAGAGAGAGAGAGAGAGAGAGAGAGAGAGAGAGAGAGAGAGAGAGAGAGAGAGAGAGAGAGAGAGAGAGAGAGAGAGAGAAAGAGAGAGAAAGAGAGAGAAAGAGAAAGAGAGAGAGGCGAAGAGAAAGAAATCCGATTAAAACCTCACATTTCTCCCTCACACGCAAAGCGAAGCACCAGCACAGCAACCCGTGATGTCCGGACCAGAGAGTGAAGCAAATATCCAATTTGCATCCACGGAGCTATTTAACGGACGCAATACTTTTACAACTTAATTTCCTTTTTACCGGCATGTAACCAAGTCAAGTATTTTGAAGTGTATAACGGTTTTCTTGCGAATTGGCCTTTAAACTTTTATAATTTCCCCATTAAATCATGACGCAAAGATCCGCGCGACTCGCTGCTATGTTCGACAGGTCAGCGGAGAGACGGAGGGAGAAGGAAGGAAAGAGATGGGAGAAGGACAGAGGGAGGAGGGAGAAGAGAAGAGGATGGGGAGAGAGAGGAGGAAGTGGAAAGATGGGAGAAAGATGGGAGGGAGACAGGGGTAAGGAAGGAGGGAGAAGAGGAAGGCGAGAGAAAGGAGAATAGGGTTTAGGGGGAGAAGGAGGAAAAGGGGAGGGGGAGGGGGAGGGGGAGGGGGAGGGGAGGGGAGGAGGAGGAAGAAGAAGAGGAAGAAGAAGAAGGAGGAGGAAGAAGAGTAGGAGGAGGAGGAGGATGAAGAGGAAAGAAGAAGAAGAGAAAGAGGTGAAGGAAGACGAGAGGAAGGAGGAAGACCAGGAGGAGGAGGTGGAAGAGCAGCAGCAGCAGTAACAGCCACAGGCCAGGAAGGAGAACGGAGGAGAGAAGGGGGGGGGGGGGGAATTGGGCTCCTGAGGGCTTGTCCTTAACTTCCTGATGATCAACCGACTTCGCAGAAAACGATATTATCCATTTTTCTTTCCAAGCCTTTTTAAAGATAAGTTTCCCATCAGAAAACAGAAGCTGCGAATAAAGTACATCATTATACGCTGACTCCGAGAGATGAGCTACTTCTCCGTAACTTACTTTCCCATAAATTCCGTTCTTCAAAGGGGGGGGGGTATACGTCTTTATCACGTAGAAACGAAAGCCGTCCATCCCCTGCTTTGGCGTGGCAGAGTGGAAGACGAAAAAAAAAGGGGAAAAGCAGAAGATTTACGGCAGGGATCATAGTCTTTATAAGGATCAGGTCAACATTACCTTTCGTGGACGCCCTTCTGTAGCCGGCTGGGGGGGGGGGGGGGGGGGGCGTGCTATCTCGATCGCCCGACGCCCGGGAAGACACCTTGGGAAGGACGCCGCTTCCCGTGTCCTTCCCTTTCTCTCTTCTCCTCTCCCAATTCTCCTCTCTTCTCCTCCTCCACTCTATCTCTTTCCCTCTGTTCACACTTTCGCTTACACTCTTTCCATCCTTCCTCTCTCCCTCTATTCCCACTTTCGCTCACACTCTCTCTCCCTCTCCTTCTGTTCCCGCTTTCACTCTCACTCTATCTCGCTCCCTCTCTCCCTCTCTCCCTTTGCTCCCACTCTCTTCCTCTGTTCCCACTCTCTCCCTCTGTTCCCACTCTCTCCCCCTCCTTCTCACCCTCTGTTCCCACTTTCGCTCCCACTCTCTCCCCTCCCTCTCTCCCTCTCTCCCTCTGTTCCCACTCTCTCCCCTCTGTTCCCACTCTCTCCCCATCCTTCTCACCCTCTGTTCCCACTTTCGCTCCCACTCTCTCCCCCTCCCTCTCTCCCTCTGTTCCCACTCTCTCCCTCTGTTCCCACTCTCTCCCTTTTGCTCCCATTCTCTCCCCTCCCTCTCTCCCTCTGTTCCCACTCTCTCCCTCTGTTCCCACTCTCTCCCTTTTGCTCCCATTCTCTCCCCTCCCTCTCTCCCTCTGTTCCCACTCTCGCTCCCACTCTCTCCCCCTCCCTCTCTCCCTCTCTCCCTCTGTTCCCACTCTCGTTCCCCCTCCACCAACCCCGAAGAAACGTGAAGCGCTTTCGTCGCGGCTTTCGAGAATCTTAAGACGCGGATTACCCTTAATTGCGGTTCCGTGTTTGTGATTCGTTGCTCCTGCGGTCGTTGCGCCGGAGGGGGAAATGCGAGACAAGTTTGGAAATTTTCGCGGTTTATTTCTGCGGCGGATTAATTTCCCTCGCTCAGCAGACCTTCGCGCTGAACAGGTTTTCAGGTCTATCGAGCCATAACGATCACTTTCATTTTCTACTTCTCGGTGGGGAAATGTTACAATATTCGTGTATGATTTTTTAATAACGGTTTTAGCTTTTCACATTTCTCCCGAAGCAGTGGGGCATGTAATATGCAATTAAATGCATTGCTTCTCGAGGACATTTAAATATTGGAAAAATAAAATGGTGTGTTTGAAAACAATTTAGTAATTATGCGACAGCATAATGATAAAACTAGTGACTAATCAACAATAGTGTTGCATATCAGGACGTATAAATTGCCCAAAAAAAACGCATAAACAAGATAAAAAAAATACCCATTACTGAAATCACCGACGAATTATACTCAACATCATTTTTAAAAATACCAAAAAAAAAAAAAGTAAAACGAAAGGAATTACAACAAAAATAAAAGACAGTAAACCAAACATCTTATCTCGAATGAGGTAATGACAAGACTCAGCAAACATCTCCGCATTAGAAGGCAAGGGAAGCAGCGACCGGGGAAAGGGAGGGGCGGAGGCACAATAAAGCTGTCAAGAAGCTGGCCCGGACACTTCCTCTTGCAATATCTTGCTTCTTGCAACCTTACCTGCCTTAACCATGCATACAAAACAGGTAAAAATAGGTTCATTCTAAGATCCTTTCGTCTATATTTATCTCCCCCTTTTCTATTCACTGATTTTTTTTTCCCCCGTCATTATCTCCCTAATCTTCCTCCGGGACTTCAAACGTAAAAATTAAAACATCGAAGACATAAAACATATCTAATAACAAAACAAAAACAAAAAAAAAGGTAGATCAGGCTTAAAAAAGACACGAAAAAAAAAATCTCACCACAATGCAAACTCGGGACAATACCAAAAAGGGAAAAAAGGAGCGGGGGGGGGGGGGAGGCTAATACCACACTCCATCCGAAAAGAAAACAACAAATCGCGGTCGGGAAGCCACGCCAGAAAACAATAAGACCAGCTGCCGTCTCCTTAGACCGCAAGTCTTATTGGTACAGCGAGGGGAAATGTATGGATGTCAGACGGATTTGGGGGAAGAGGGAGACACATGTGGGTGGGTGGGTGGGGGGGGGTTATACAAAGAATCCGGAGGGGAAGAGAAGACAGGGGAAAAAGAAGGGAATGAAGGGAGGGGAAAAGAAGGGAATGAAAGGAGGGGAGTGGGGATGAAAAGCAGCAGAAAAGAGGGAAGAAGATGAGAAATTAGAGGGGAGAGAAAACGAAAGAGTAAAAGGAAAGAGGAGTGAAGACAGGAGGGGAAAGGTCAAAATATGTGAGAAGGGAAGAGAAGGAAAGCGAAAGAGAAGAGAGAAAGGGGATAAGAGGAGTGAGAGTAAGGAAAAAGAAGAGAAGGGCAGATGACAGATATGAGAAAAGGGAAAAGGAGAAAAGATAAGAAAGAGAAAGATACAAGGAAAGGGGAGTCGAAACAAGGAGAAAGAAAGAGAAAGAAAAATGGAGAGGAATAAGGGTGTAGGAAACTGTGGGATGTAGGACGATTAAATGGGGAGGGAGGGGGAGGAAGAGGGGAAGGGTGTGATGGAAGATGGGAGACGCACACACACACACGGACACCGAATGGCTCTTCCCTATCACGATCGGAGCAGCAATAAACGATAAAAAATACGCGGTGTTTATAGGCCGCGCGTGATGCGACTCGCGACGCTTCGAGGGAAGGAAGGCGGGAAGATCGGCCGATATGGTTCCTCCGAAAGAAAAGTCGACGAGTACTTTCTCATCTTACGAAGCTCACATCGACTGGCTATCAACACAGGCTACGGATGTCTGTCTGTTTCGTATTGCTTTACTTATATACTGTCTTTTTCTTCTTTTTTTTTGCAATACACGTGAGAGTGGAATTAATAAAAAAACGAAAGCAGTAATCATAAAAGCATAATCACTGCCCGAACAAACAATGCTTGCGTGTATTCTTTGCTAGTTGTGAGCCTTCCTTCTTAACAACTGATCTTCCGTGTTAAAAAGGTCAATAAGCCGCACTATTCCCCAAATAATAAAGTATCCCTTGTCCTGTGCATCTGCCACAACTCGTATTCTCTGTGACATGGGGATGTGTCTCCTTAGCTTCGTTCTTACAGCAATCCTCGTTTTCCTTTCTATACCCTGTCTCCAAGCTCTCAATACGGCTTCCTTTTTTTCCTGCTCAGATATTATCTACTTTATCAATCACTTCGCTTAAATTGCACCCCTCTTCCTCTATATACATTTTCCTTTCCCCTTTTCCATGACTGTTTAACATCACCCTTTGCTTAAACTGTACCTTCGACTGATAAAAAATACGACAATTGGCTTGTTAGTATCATTCACGGGGTTAATCATATCGTCAATAGCTTTATTAATATTGCAACTTCAGAGTAGGAATGAAAGCATATCTCCGGATCAAGGAAAAGACAAATAACATGTTCGTTTCCTAATGCTCTTAAATCCGACCAGGTCATGAAACGCTTTTATCTCGGCCATTCAGACAATTTCAATACGAATGACGCACGTACGAGTTTGTGGATAATGACGCACGTAGTTTTATCATGAATGACGCGTATACAGGTTTATTAATAATGCTATTCGCAGATTCCTGAAAATGATGTATCTAATTCGAAGATATCTTTAGCGAAAGTCTGAAGTAGCTCGGGCCAGCACAGCACATTATCAAGTGTAAGAAAGTTTAGATCAACTGCGAAGTGAATACTCAC